CTCCCACCAGCCAGCACTCTCCATCCAGCTCACAAATTACGCTTTTAAGCCAAGCAGCATGTTAAAAGAAATTGTTCCACTTTACACAGTGAGGCAGTTAATGAAAATGGAACTGAGGAGATGTGCAGACGAGCAAAAAAACATTTTACACGTAAAAACTTCCAAAATGAAAGTACTAAAGCGGAAACCTGAAAGCATAATAAATGCTAATGACGCCTGTGGAGAAAATATAAGGGGGGGAATGAGAAAGATGCAGTCTGGTAATAACCAAAATGTTCTTTCATATTCAAATGCTATAGCTGCTGTTCTTTGGAGGATGGGTGTGGCTGACTGATTCTTCTTGTCTCCTCAGCTGTCGCGGCTTTGTGACGTCTGTGATCCCATTTGCTCAATCAGGCCACGCTTTCGGGGAAAGTCCACATCGCTGCTTAATAACCACAAACTAAGTAGCTCAGTGATCTAGAAAGCAGTCAGAAATCACAAAATGATCAGGTTGTTTACTTTCAGAAATAAATTTAAAAAAGAAACTCAGATTCACAGGAACGATGGTGCCTCTTTCTTTCTCTTTTTCTCTCTCTGAGCAGCAGGTAAAGCTGCAATCTCAGTCATTCATATTTAATTCTGCTAGAGTTTCCGGGAAGACTAATGTGCTATTGATTTCGGGCCTCCTATTACTGGAGAGGGGAGGAGGGTGGAAAAGGCCATGACGGTAGAAAGCTGGACCACAGGGACTAAAAGCAAGAGAGTGAAAAGGGAGAGGAGGAAGGGGCAGAGAAGCAGGAAAGAGAATGGAGACAAACAGCTACAGCAGCCAGCCCTTCTATGAAACACTGAAATATTCCACACAGCAAGTCTGCTTTATCTCTCTAACAATCTGCTTCACACTGTCAAATAAATACATAAACTTCCACATGAAAGAACAAGGAGGAAAATTGAGGCTGAGGCACAAAACGTGTCCCGTCTTATTTACTTTTCATTAAATTGAGGCAGTTACTCAGCGACTGGGGCCAAACCTAACAAAGCAAGATTACCTGTGCTTGTTGATAATCTTGCGTCCACATGTTTTCATAGAAAGGGGAAGAGAGTAAAATAAGGAGAAGGGAAAAACAAAGAGAATGTCAAAGAGCCAAAGTGTGTTAAAGGTCTCTCCCTTGACACCAACTCAGACAGGACAAGATAAAAGATTAATAAGCATGGCTTTATATTTAAAAGGCTTACAATAAAAGGTTGTTTCAATGATTGCTCCGTTAATCAAAACCCAGAACAACAGGATTATGTATACAGAAATTAATGAGAATACCAAAGAAAAGGAATCAAACGACAAGATTGCAGATTTGTTTGCACGTCTTTTTGTTCAACAGTGAATACATGCAAACAAAAACACCTAGCTTACGCAGAGAATTATCCAGCAAAATATCATACATAAAAAAAAATGACAAGAGCGTCTACTTCAGAGACTTCCTCCCACCAGCCTGTCTACTCTAATAATAGCCCAGAGACAACGAATCCAGACAGACAGAGAGAGAGAAGGAGAGCATAGAGACAGAGGAAAAAGTGCAAGTGAACCCACGAGGGAGATCACCAGAATATTGCCAAATAAAACATAAAAGGGTTGAAATAGGCCAGATGCCACTGTCAACAAATTTCCCTTTAAGAAAAAAAACTAAACAAAATAGGCTAATTTATTTTTGGATTCCTTCCTTGTACACTGCTGCTGCCACACAATAAAAACTCAGAGATGCCTTGAGCCAGGCCTGGTCGAGAGAGACCCTTGAATTAACCAGACCAGAGGCTGAATCATCCTTCCCATCCCCCAGATCCGCTGTCATAGTGTCACTCGCTCACTCTGCTCGTCTCTCTCCCTCCCTCTCCCTTCTCTCCATGCGCGGACAAAGCCTCCACCTTACCGCAGGGCAATGGCAACAGGCAGTCATTTTGATGAAATAATAATGAGGAACGGGAAAGGAATTCTGATATTTTAGAGCTTTGGCAGGAATTTATTTCCTACACATACAAAATATTGAGTTCCACCAACTGGTATTTTAAAAAATATAAAATGTAATGACATAAATCGTTTCTCCTCTTTGCTTTATTTACAGAACATTTGAGATTGCGTGACAAACATCATATTCTCTTTGTTTACATTTTATGTGACAGACCAACACAAACTACGGCATAATTGCTATGTGACACATATTTGTATTAGGACACCTTAAGCCAATACCGTGTGGAAGAACTTTTTACTCCAAGCCTTTTGTTGTATGTCTCTGTGAGGTTTTACACATGTACAAAGCCTGCATGTTTGTTCATTCTCAGTCAAATTAGCTGGAGAGCATCTGTGAGCATCAGCTTTCAGAAGCTGCCATAGATTCTGAATTGGATTAAAGTCTGGACTTTGACTTAAATCAAAGTCCAGATGCTTTGATTCTAACTCTGGGGATGGTTTCAGTGTCACTATCCTGAAGAAGCTGAATATTGGTTTCAGTCTGGCGGTCACTTCTGAAGAACTATTATTTATTTTATATTGTTATTTTTATTAAAGAGACTTGATCAAGCAAGAGACTTGATCAAATGCAAACGGAATATATTAACAAATTCACCGTCTCTTAAAATCAATTCTGTACACTGGATTTTTTAAAGGGGTATGACGTTAAAGGGGGCTGAATGCAAATGCATGCTACTGTATTCAGAAAAAAAATGAACCTATGTATTGTTTTCCTTCCATGACAAAATTACGTCTTATTTGTGTTGGTTGATGACTTATGATCCCAATGAAATACCTTTAAGATTTTTGAGTTTATTCATTTTAAAATGATCCACTAATGTGCATTCCACAATATGCTAAAAGAAAAGGGCCACTTCTTCAAGATTCCTGACCACCATTACTACAGAAACCCTCAACTACAAGATAATCAGTAGAATAACACACAAAAAAAGCTTTTAAGCAAAACTAATGCTTGATCCATGATTCAGTGACATACAATAGATGCTTTAAATACCCTCTTACCCACATGAAGGATTCAGCTGCCATGCTACAAACAGGGGCTTTAATGAGAGGCCACAATTAAGCCCATGTATTCACATTAAGTGTGAACTGTAAGTGGGACTGCAGTCAGTTGACGGACCTGGTTGCTTTTGTGTGACAAGAGCCGCTTTCATTCAGCTCACAAAAAGGGGAAAAACACAAGCACCTAATGAGTGAATCTCTCCATCTCCTCACCGACAGCCGAGCATGCTGATAAGAACTACACACACACACACACACACACACACACGCAAGGGCACATACGTGTGTGCTTCCACACATGGACAACACACTTGTCCTCCCTCACTAGCAAACTGACTCAAGGGCTCCAACGCATCCAAGGCTGAGTTGAGTCACTGCTTGTCAGAGAAGGGTGGGGGCGGGGTTAAGACAGACTGACAGTGGGGCTCCATCTCTATCCTCTTATTAACGCTTAACGAGTGCTTTCCTCATGCAATATTCATCTTCACTAATATCATCCAAGCTCTGAGCCAAGCTTGCTACTTATGTAAGGCAATTATGTAAAATATCAGACAGAGCCTATGTTCAGAAGCTTGCTGGAAAAGAGCTGCAGGACAGTAAAATAAAATGGACAGACAGAAAAACCGTTGGAGGCCGGGACTGCAAGTTACTTGTTTTCTCGCTCTTTATACACCAATATGGATCCTGGGATCAATCGAGGGCAAGTGGCCAGCATCAATAATGCAAACAATTTTCTTTTTCCATTATTCTTCAAACCGGAGACATCTGAGGATTCCTCAAGGTCACCTAAGAAGAGGAGAGGAAAGGGAATACCTCAGCAGCCCTGTTCACTCCATCAAAATGTATAGATAGTACAAAATCAGTTCTGTAACAACAACAAAAAAAAGGAAAATGTCTCTCACTTCCTCACAGGAATGGAAGCTGTAAGTGCACGCACAAATAAACAAACCTGTAGTAATTTATGCACACTTGCACCTCGCAACCCCCCGGGTCAAGGCCCTGTGGGGTCTGCGCAAAAAATAGGTCATTTGTCACACATGATGTCCCGGGGCAGGGGATACATTATAGATGAGTCCAAACAGCATGTCTCAGCGAGCACTTACCATACAGTCAGGCACAAGGGAGGGAACAGCAGGAGATGTGCAGAGACAGGAAGAGAGAGAGTCAGAGAGAGAGAGAGAGAGAGAGAGAGAGGGCTGGGAACTCCTCCACAAGGGGACACTTTGAGAGAAATGTAAGTAGGGAAGTAAAATAATAATAATAATAATAAAATCACTGCTAATTTCTTTCTGTTAGAAAAGAGCCTTAGGATAACGGATCATTTGGCTTAACAGATAAAAGCTAGAGATGTAGCCCTTTTCTCAACCTTTTTTGCTGTGTGGACAGTAATTAATTCAGGGGGTCTAATTTGGTATTCCCATGTCTGCACCTGACCCAGTGGCAACCATCTGCGTTGCACGGGAGAGGCCCAGAAATCGTCCGCTCCTTGTTGTAGTAATGTAGTAAGGATGCGGCGCTTTGTCTCTGGCCACCACTCAAACCCAATTATTGCATATTTCTGCCTCTTTTTCCTCCACTGCTGCCTGTGTAGTGATCAGCTAAGAATGAGCACTTGTGAATTGCTTTTATCTTGCCTGTTTGGGTGGAGATGTTTGCTGCCGTGTCAGAAAGGCCCAAATGAAGACTGATACATAAAGGAAGGAGCTGTGCCAACGCAGGACTAAGTGCGAAATGTGCTGAAGGAGAAAGAAAGAAGAAAGTCCACTGCCTTTTGCTGCACCCATCTGTTCTGAAAGTGCAGGTGGAGTCCTATTCACTGTGCTCTGCATGTGTGTGAAGAGAGAGAGGAGGGGTGGTACGCGTGGGGGGGAGCGGAGGGGGGGCAGGAAGAAAGGAAGGGCAGCGAGAAGGAGGGAGTGGAGAGATGGAAGAGGGGAGAGAGGGGGAGGACTCTTGGTGATCTCTCCTGAAGGGGATAATGGGAGAGGAGCGCATTGCAATGGCTGCCATGTAGTACCCTCCCTGCACAATTAGCCAATCAGCAGCGCGCTCTGCAAGCCAGGAGGACGCATAAAAGAAGAACATTGCAGCAGAGGCACAGAAGGAGACTGCGAGAGGAGCAAGGAATTACACACACACATACACACACACATAAAAAGCAGCGAAACCAGAACACCCTCCCCTGGACACACCCTGCTGAGGATCACTGTTTCTCTTTTTTTTCTCCCTGAACCATCGCCCACGCCACGGAGAGAAGCTTTCTCCATCATCATCCTCCAGAAGAAAACTCCTTTTTCCCCCCTCATTTTCATCCTGTAGAGGACACCAACAATTTTGCAGAGCTGAGATCCTTTGGCGAAGACTGTATTTTTTTTCCTTTTTTTCTTTTTTTTTTCTTTTACTTTTTGCTCCTAATTGTACATAAAGGCCATATAATAATATAAAGGCCCAAGAGCGCAGAGAGAGAGAGACTTCCGCTTCAAGACCTGTGAAAAGAAGGACCTAGATTTCTTTCATTGTACGTCAAGAATGGTTACTGTACGTATGCCTCTATTTTTCTTATTACAGAGAAAGGGGGGAGGGATGTTGCATCATTGGATCTTTTTGTGTAGTATTTGTTTTGGATGCGCACATGTGATGCAGCCATTGAGAAATTAATTCAACACGAATTCTCTCGTTTATTTTCCACAACTCGGTCTCGTTTTCAGCAGCGCTCGCCACTCGTGTCCACATGCCGACACACGGAGGAGCTTTGGGGTTGTCGTTTCTGTCCACCTCAACATGCCATATCATTCTGATGAGATTAACGATCGATACGGGCATTTGGCAGTCTCACGCTGTGTGATGCGCCACACCGGCCGCGCTCCAGCCAGCAGACAGCCTCGGCGTTGGAGGAAAACATTATCCTGCCATTTTAGATAGCTCTGGCTAGATTTGTTTTTTCTTTTGCAGTGCATGCTCACATCCCAAGCGTCGCATCTCCATTATGCGTTACTTTATTGTCAAGAGTGAGCTTTGCATTCGACATTGTGCGTGATAGTAGTGATGGAGACGGGGGGGAAACGCAAGGATGCTGCGAGTTCAGAGGAAAAGGAGGAGGGTGGGGGGGCGGCTTTCTTTGCCTGGTGCTGCACAAGGATGCTGGAGACGGGTTTGTGAGACAAAACATGATGCCTCGGAGGCTGAGGGCCCATCCAACAAGGCGAAGGAGGGAGGGGAAAAGGGTCGAGTCACTCTGAGATAGGGGGGGTGGGGTGAGGAGAAGGAGATTACGCATCCGTTGGTTCGCTTTGAATCAGGCAAAGTCCAAAATTCCTCAGGGTTCTCGTAGCGATGCAACCGAGTAAATGGACTGGAAACCTCCGAGGCTGTGACGGCACCACTAAGGCCGCGCCCGGACAGCACCATTTTTTCTTCTTTTATATATATATATATATATATATATATATATATATATATATATATATATATATATATATATATATATATATTATATATATATATATATATATATATATATATATATATATATATATATATATATATATATATATATAAGGCGCATTTCCCCAAGAACTATAGCGCCGCACACACAACAAGATGGCCATGTCTGTGCTGCGCTTGCCGGATGAAAGGAGATGCGCTGATAAATTAGCCTTGCTGTGTGCGCCGACTGGCTAGATTGGGCGTGTCTCTGTTGTATCCGAGCATCAAACGAGGGCCTTGAAGCCTTAAACGACCTTTTCCGCTTTGCCTCTTGACATGATCCGGAGCTTCAATGCACGAGGTTTATGTATGCAGACCGTTGAAGATTAAAACCATTTACATAGAATTAGAAGAATAATGATAAAGAGTAGATCTAGTCTAGTCGGCACTGGAATAAAAAAAAACGTGTGGGGAAAGAAAAGGATCAAAATAATTGAATACCATATGAGTCATATTTAACCTGTATAAAAAGCCTAGACAGTTTATTAGATGACTAATTTTAGTACACAAAATAAATAATTCACAGCATAAAGGACGCACGCGTAAGACCCAGAACACACACAGACCCAAACGAGTATTTACTCGATAAATTATCCTTATATTAAACAATTATTATATTTCTCTTTGTTTGATCCCCGTTGTTACTTACAGGCCTATTTATATATGTATCTATATAAATATATAGTGGCAGCATCTCTCCTCCACATGGTCCGCAGCCCCCCGTGCCTGTACCGCAGTGCCAAGCAAATAAAAGCGTTGAGTCAGACAACCTTTCCAAAGCACTTACACAATTCAAGGACAAGGACAGGCGAGGCCATCACTGTAGAGCGTTTCTTTGATCTCATAAGGTAAAAAAAACTTCTTGCCCCATTCACTGGGCCTACATGGAGTAAAATACTGAAGACGTGAATCCGTTTTCGATTTTTTTTATTTGTATTTTTTTCTTTTTTTATTCGGTTTTATAGGTGAGGGCAAATAATGCAGAGTGAAAATATCAAAAGAAGCGATAAATGCGATTATATAAGCAGATATCTGCTTCTTGTGGGTCAGCATGGATTTACATATAAAAATGAATGACCTTTGTTCATTTATTATTTTTTTTATTCTATATTCGTTTTAAGGGTTTTACACCCTTTGATAAACAGCATTTATTTTACTATAGCGAATCTATTTTTATTTATCATCTTAATGCATTGTACAAGAAGAGAACTATTTTATTGCAGCACAATTAAATCGAAGACTCCAAAATAATAATAAATAATTAAAAAAAAAGAAAAAAGATGCAAACATTGAATACTATATAGACTAAACAGGCTTTTCCCATTGAGGATATTTGACATTTCTTTGGGCTTTTGACTCGGAGATGGCAACTGTAACGATCATTGTTCCCAGAGAGTCCTGCAGCCTCTGGCCTCGACACAAAGCGCCACTGTTTACATTAATATTCATAGTGCTGCCATAGCCCTCTGCGAGAGGGAGAAGAGGAGGAACGGGTGGCTCTTTTGTTTGGTCGATTCAATACGTTTATTCAGCAAATAGGCGCTCTGGTTTATGAATGCCAGCAGAGCTCACCAGTTCTTGATTTAAAGCAGGCGATGCACAGCAGAAACAGAGAAATCAGTCGATCCTTTAAATTGTTTAAATAGGTTGGAAATCATCTTTTTTACGGGCCGGTGCTGTGAGGTTTGAAATGAATAACAAAATTCAAAATATGTACGAACAAAGTCGATTTTCTTTTGCTCGTTTCACGGCCATCTGTGTCTTCAAAAGAGCCTGTCCGAAAGCCACTCCCTTTTCAGCACGCTGGATAGCGCCCCGCATGATCCAAGGACTTGTGAGACAGATTTGTGTCCTGCAGCCTTTGACGCTGTCTGCTGTCATCTTGTCAAAGCGGTCCATAACACCCAGGGATCTCTGCGATCTTTGAGAAATCTTTTATTTTGTCATCTGACTGTGTGGAGTCGCTGTTCGTGGCTGACAAGAGCTGTGACTCTCAGGTCGTCCTGTTGTGTTACATCTGCCACCATGATCCCTTAAGCTGCAGAAAATGTGGCTAATGCCCTTTGTTTGGGATAATCCTGTAATCTGTGTTATTTAGAAGGCTCATTTACACTTTACACTAGCATTCTGTTTTAGATTATGTCTTGCACACCTGAAATAATTTGTATACAGAGAAGAAGAGATTCCTGCTTTGGTAATGTTTTGATAAAACAAAATGGTTGGTCTAAATTATTTCCTAATGCTATATTATATACGTATTTTGACTTCAGTCAGTCATTATATATGACCCTAAGATAGCTAATGCTACAAGAAAATGTGCATCTAGATCCTATGGAAATAAACACTAAAATCACATCATTTCATTGTAACACCCAATTTAAACTGCAACATGCAAACTTTGCGAGACACATGCTATTCCTCTGTATTATACAGCCCCAAGTGCTCCAATGCATTTGGAGCAGAAATGATTTCAATGCATCAGAGGACAGAGACCACAAGACATACATTTACATTAAGTCTTGCAGTGCTTCTTTGTTTTGTAATTTAATTGTGCACAGTGTAGGTGGTGTGTGTTTGGCGAAAGGAGGCTGGGCTTCTTGTTTGCGTGCAAATCTGGCTTCATGTGTTTTAGTGGTGGAGTCTGAGCTCTTGTTGCGTGCAAGTCTGGGACCGTGTGTGGGCGAAGCTGATGCACTCCATTAAATATTAAGGGAGGTCTCACAGAACCCCTGAAATAGAAATAAAAACAACAGGCAGCGGGCTCCCAACGTGATGATAACAGCTGTGGTGTGTTGGAGATTTAAAATCAGAAATTATTTATTATGTTTTGTCCTTATCAGAGAGAAATAAAAAGTGAGCAGCAATGTATCTAAGAAATTGTTAGTGATCTTGTTTCTTTTCTCATTCACTCTCAGAATTTATGATTGTACTGCATGCATACTAACATTAACTTAGCAATTTGTGCTTTAATTTGCCTTTGAAGCAGGTTACTCCAAAGCTTTTCTTAGAATTATGTACCATCTTCAATCAGAGCATACATTTGTTCAATTTATTTTTATGTTCATGCTGCAGTTAGCCGTTGTTGTTAAATTCTCCTTTTAATTTTTCAATTTATTTGCCGTTTGTGTCTCTGACAGGCACTGTGGATTTATGAATTATATAACCTTACACTGTTTGCTGGAAATGCTTACTCTGCCTCTCTGAGGTTTTCCAGTTGGAGAGTCAAATTTGCCCTGAAAATGTCTTTCGCCCCCCTTTGTATTATTCCGCTTTTGCTATCACTTGGACACATTTAGCTTATTCTACTTCTGCTACTCCACAAAGTAATGCACTACTACTAGCATGAAAACAACAAAACAGTGTGTTTCTTTATAAATAATTAAAGGGAGCCATATAATTTTAGGTATCTTTTAGCTTCATCTCAAAATCTTTACATGACAGGCTGTTGTTCTCGTTGCTGTTCAACCTTTGTACATAAAGGTGCATTTGATGTATTTTAGTTTTTACACTGTCTGAACTGTCACCAGGCTGTTCTTTGTTTCTACAAAGGCACGCATTATCAGTATCTGTACGACATACATATAATCTGCATGTCTGCTGCTAACAAGCTCAGACAAACAAACTGTTAAGCAAGGAAGTCTGTCAGCCGTTAGAAACACTGTCGTCTTTGAGGGGCTGTAGCCAGGGCAACCTGAGTCCAGGTGAGTCTCAAAACAAGGCGGATGGATGCTGAGATGAGGTAAATAAGTTTATTAGAAAAACCCATCAAACCTAACAAAAAACTAAACAGAAATTTGTTAAATTTTAGTACTTTATTAATTCCATACAAAGAGTGTGAAAACAGAAACAATAAAAGTAACAAAATGACAAACTTGAGTAGAATATTAACATAACTTTAATGAAGTCAATAGGCACTCATAAGTCGGAATAATATCGTCTGTGAAAAATACATTTAAATTGCATGGGCAGCATTTCTCCATCACATTGGTCTTTCTGAGAATAACATTAGGGAATAATTTGTGGAAGTTGATAATTAACTCCTTTTATTGTTTGGAAGAATATTTTAATTCCCATGAGATTCACCATGGGCTCATTTGTCCCTTTTGCCATAAACAAACAATAAGAAATTAACAACCTGCAACAAGTCAAATACAGAGTTTGAGGTGACTGTTTGCAAAACGACCCAACAAGCATTAGTATTTACTCAGATTGCATAATTGCGAGGAAGAATGGTACAAAAATGCAAGAAAATAAAAAAATTAAAAATCTTTGGATGACATAACAGGTGTACTAACAAAGTCATAAAAATACTCCTTGATCAATAACTTTTTAAAAATAATAAAATTAGGCAGCTAAAATCAAACAAAAAAAATGTCTTCTCCATTTTCTATTGTTATTCTCTTATTTTTTCCTTTTTTCATTTTTTTTGTAAGTCTACTTTTTCCTCAATAACAAAAAAGTACAGTTCAATTCAGTGTTATTAAACTCGGTATGAATAAACAGACACAGTCACACACACGCACAAACATTTGGTGTGACTAGCTATGATATAATATGCTATAATATTGATCTGGTCTCAAAGAGCTTGGTACTGAGGGGGAGGAACTGGAGAGCAAGAAGTCTGTTTTGTTGCCATTTTCTGGTATTCTGCATGGCTCTAATTAGATGCATCAAAGCAACACAAAATACTCCACTATATACCATCTCTGTGCTCACTTAAAAACTGGGAAATTAAAGGTCACAGAGTCCAAAGACAAAAACTGCTTAAAAAAGTAGCTAACCACGATATGCATTATTTATTGGAGCGCTAAATCCATCTGACAGCTCCCTTGGTTTTGTGCCAGTCTGGTAGCCACCATTCTGACCAATCCGTCCCTATGTAATGATGTAATGATGTTTGACCCTGGAAGAGTAGGGGGGGATGGGAGGAGTAAAGAAAAGGGACTGTGACATCTGCAGGACCAGAGGCAGGGAGAAGGAGAGCTGGAAAGATGGAGCAGAAGGGGGAAGGGAGGATGATAAATCTGACCTTGTCCACCTCCATTTTAGCAACGCTGATTCTTGACCTGCACTTCTGATGCTTAGAGAGTGAGTCGACTCTGTGTGCTCTGCTGTGCACAGCCTATATTAGCAAACGTATCACTGTAAGCTAAATAATGGATTCGAAGCATGTTTAAAGGTTTATTTTTGTCGAGTCTCTTTGTGAGTAATGAATCTAATTCCACCCTCTTCCTCAGCAGATAATCAGCACCATGGAAACGCAGGTGTCCAACGGTCCAAGCGGAACCAGTCTGCCCAACGGCCCAGTCATTAGCACAAATGGCTCCACAGATGACAGCAAAACCAACTTGATCGTCAACTATCTGCCTCAGAACATGACCCAGGAAGAATTCAAAAGTTTGTTGGTAGCATTGGAGAGATCGAATCCTGCAAGCTAGTCAGAGATAAATAACAGGTACAAAATTGACATGAGCTGAAAAAGTCACTCCAGCTGGTTTTGAAAAAGCTCAACATTCCCTGTCATTCTGTCTTTTCCTGCAGGTCAGAGTTTGGGATATGGTTTTGTAAACTATGTGGATCCAAATGACGCAGACAAGGCTATCAACACACTAAATGGTCTCAAATTGCAGACTAAAACAATCAAGGTGGGCATATTCCATGCACTGGGAAAAGAATCACTTCAAATTAATTTTCGATTTTTGACAACATTCCAGACAAAGAAAAAAGGAAGGAAGTGGAGATTTTGTCAAGGGGGTTTGTGAAAGAGGTGGCAACGGATGTCAAAGCAGGAGGGGAGCAAATACAAGGGTCCAAAAGGGGGGATGAGGAGACAGAAGGGAGTGGTAGCATGAACAAAAGAAGAATGAAAAAGGGTGAAAGGAGAGGGTGAGAGTGGAGGTCAGAAAGCAAGGGGCGGACAACATGCGGAGGGTTTTTGTGATGGAAATGCAATTAGGCAGCCCGACTGTGGCACACATGGGTCAGTGCAGGTTAGCCCATCTGTCTTCAATCTAGGTTAATTAGGGGGCTTCTTTGTCGCAAAATCAGATGACGGACAGAGAGGTGGTGGGGAGTAGGAGGATCAAATTATTAATCTCTAATTTCATCCAATCTCAAACTTGATCGAAGTGGCCCAAAGGCTGAGACCAACTGCAGGATCTACATCAGTGGAGAGCAAGTGCTCTGACTCAACACTGAACTTTAGATCAAGTCATAGATAAACATACAGTAAAGAAATATCTAAGCAAAAAGCCAATTATTATCATAGTGACAATAAAAGTATTTTTTAAGAAGGAAAATGTCCACTCTTACATAAAAACACAGTAGCTGGTGTCAGTATTCCAATCTTCTCCTGATTTTACAGAAAGCTTCAAAGAAAAGATCAAGGTGTGGGGGAAAGTGGGTGGAGGGGGGAAATGATGGAGGGTCGAGAGCAGAATGCCAATGACGGGATTAGAGGCCATATGGGCCAGAGGCACCATCTGTACTGTGCGAGCGACAGTGAGAGGGTTAATTATAGGGCAGCCTCTGCTCCCGAACAGAGCAGCTCCCCCCGCGCCTCGTACAGAACACCCTAATCACCACACAGCACAACCCTCCTGCTCGCGCAGTCCCTCTGTGGACACAATAGATGCCGGTCCTTTGTGCTGATTTATAAAATCAAAGCACCTGTATTCATCTGAAAGATAACATATTGACCAATTAGCTGGGACTGCATAGTTTTAATAGTAAAACATGAGTGCAAAATGACTGCATGGTTTTCATAGACGTCTGTAAATGTATTTAGTGAATAGTATATTTCTAAGTTGGGAGAACTCTTTCCAGCCTTTAGGTGCATTCTCACTGTTTGCTCGGTTGGAGCGTTTCGCTCCCCCTGGAGAATAGCAACAAAGGAAGGAGGCAGGACAGAGGGAGAACGGCTCAGCCTATCTCCAACCACTCACACTGTCTCTCCATCACATGTAAACACACCACTCCTAACAAAGCACCGGAGTGGACTGTCTGTCACTCAACTGTTCATGTTTCCATAAACAGAACTTTAAAAAGAAGAGAGACAAGAGGTCAGTCAGCCTCTTACCAATCACTAAGATATTATTTTTTCATATCAGAAAAGAGGCTACTGAAATGAGACTGAGAAGAACAGCCATGTGGGATACGAACAGATGCATCAAAACGCTGTACTAATTAACTCACTGGAGAATTTGGGAAACTATATTGACTGAAGCCGATGTTTTTCAGTGCAAAGCAAAGAAGTCCCATGTGATTGTTAAGCAATGATTGGATTCAGCTGCAGTAATGGTTATGCAGCTGTTAAATAATGTGTCTGTGATGAATCTGAAAGTCATGTTTTAAGGTAAATAAAGACACAACTTGGTGTGTAGAGAAGAGAAAGAATAAGCAGGTTTCTTACTTCAAACTGCAATTTACATTTTAATTTAAAGGTTATTTACAGTACTTAACATGAATATTTGCACTCCTTGAACTTTGTAATATTATAAAAACAAATTGCAACAAATGCTTGAGGTTTTCTATGGGATGGCGGCACTAAGTTCAGCATTTTTGTGAAAGTGAAAGGAAGGTTGAGCATAACAGCATGTGTGACAACATTTTCTGTTTGTAAGATAAGAGTAAAACTGAACTTTTTGTCCAACAAGCACAATGTAGTTGTAGAGGAAAACTAACATTCTAAACATTGAAGCATAGTGATGGGAGCATAATACTGTGGGGATGATGCTGTGGGTTAGATGGACTCAAGTTCACCTTCCTTCAGGAGCAGCCAGAACTACAATTGACTGATTTACATCAAAGCATATTCACATGTTAAAATTGTTCAATTAAAGTTCAAACCTACATTTATTTACATAATCCATTTGGTCTATTGTAAATAATATGATTTTGTGAGTAATATGTATTTTTTCCTTCCTCTTCACATTGTTTCAATACTTTGTGTTCGGCCTGTTGGTCTAAATTCCAATTAAATACATCAATGTATCTGTAAAAGTATTCAAGATGTGCGAACACTTTTACAAGGAACTGTATCTGTGATTCAGCAGATCATTCAATCTGTTTTAGGTATCATATGCCAGGCCAAGTTCAGCCTCCATCGTGATGCCAACCTTTATGTGAGCGGTCTCCCCAAAACCATGAGCCAGAAAGACATGGAGCAGCTGTTCTCCCAGTATGGTCGCATCATCACGTCCCGCATCCTCGTGGACCAAGTTACAGGTAAGGCCTTTTAATAAAACTGATCACCTCAAGCCAAGCAGACACACCAACACCAAGGTAGTCACGCCAATCCTCTGTATTTTGTTTTCGGAGCAGGCATATCACGGGGAGTGGGCTTCATCCGGTTTGACAAGCGAAATGAAGCAGAGGAGGCCATCAAAGGACTGAACGGGCAGAAGCCTTTGGGTGCCGCTGAGCCAATCACAGTCAAGTTTGCCAACAACCCAAGCCAGAAAACAGGCCAGGCCTTACTGACTCAGCTGTACCAAACTGCTGCCCGCCGCTACACGGGACCCCTGCACCACCAGACTCAGCGTTTCAGGTACTGAACCGTCACCAACCCTGCCCTGAACTCTACCCCACCCCAAAATAAGTCCCTCATTTATTGTTCTATTGTTGCTTTCAAAAAAATTCATTTCAACAGCAAGTTTTTGAGCTCAATTAAAAGTGAGTCATTGTAAAGTTGAAAAAGATGGAGGATCTTGACAGTTTCTTTATTTTCATGCATCATCTGTACCACAAAATGGCTAAGATGAAGCGGGAGGTTGTAATCGTCAGTGAAAATATGCAAAAATTAAGACATGTAAACTGTTTAAAGAAAACTAAATTATTTTGATTATTAAAGCTATAATTAATTTTCTCCTTTGGGTAACTATTTCTTATTTGGAAACATGGTATTTTTCCCTCTTCTTTCTCCCTCTCCTCCTCCTCCTCACACTTTTTCTCTGACTTTCTTTTAAACTGCAGTGTGATCCCTTCACTTGGAAAGGGACCAGATCCAAATAGCAGCTCAAACACAATGTAAGAAACTAGATTTTTCCAAGTACAAATAGAATCAAGTTAAATACTTTATGGTTTGCATACTGCTTATAAGTCATAGACCTTGCAAAAAAATTCAAAACTATCGGGTAAGGTTGTATTAATGTGGTTAATTGTGCTAAATGACAAAAGGCAAAAGGAATCGCTCAAACTAAAAGCATTGTGGGATCTTTCCTTCTTTTGTCACTAGATGCAAATTTCCCAATGTTTATACATTAAAGCTAATAAAAGATCTTGTAACTTATAAATAATAATAAATACCAGCAAGACTGTCACATCATAGATTTATTGCTAGATGATATGAGACTGCGTTGAAGTGAAGGACGCCCTCTGCAGGCCAGCTGATGAAGACGCAACACATTAACCATAAAAAGCCCACCACTCCCATTCCTTATAGATCTCATAACTAACCTCTGCATCCCCTTCACTCTCCCTCTTGCGTTGCAGACTCGACAATTTACTAAACGCCAGCTACGGAGTCAAGAGGTAAATGCCAAAAGGTGTCCTTTCAAAAGCATTCATGCCAAAATAGAACCTTCAAACAAAGTGCCCGGAATACCACATGCTGCTTTAATCTCAAAAGAAGTTTTATATGGCCATAATTCTTAATGCCCACAGCCCATTTATCCATTCTACTGAATAAGCACTATCTGTAGCTTTCTAACAGCGGGGTATTCTGGCATGGCTTTGTTTAACCTTTTTGTTCCTTTTGTTAATTTGAATCAATATGAATAATTTCTATGTATTTATTTCTGAACTAACATTGTTGGTTTCAGTTGCTTTAATGTCCCCTTTTTTTCACCAGCATGGACATACCAGATTCCGTTTGCGTCTCTTCTGTTTGCTCCAGTTTTTCGTATGATTTGATTCCAGTTTGCTTTTCATCCCTCTCTAGGTTTCTGTGTTTTGTTCAATGCTGTGATTTCAGTTGAACATCGTGATCCATCGTGATCCATGTGTTTTAATTCTTCCAGAGGCTCTGGTCAGCAGAGAAAAAAAAAAATGCCCATTGTGTGGGTGTCTTGTCTCAGGGCACGCAGTGTCATTATGTATAAAAGCAGGCAGTTTGGAGCCATTGTGGTGCCCACACATATTTATCCACTTACTGTACAGCGGAGAGAGGATGGAGATGGGGATCCTCAAATGCGACAGATACCTAGCTTTTAGAAGATAATGTAAAGCACTGAATGCTATGTGGAACTTCAGAATGACACCCATGGTAGTTCTCCTCCTCTCTTTCCTAGATTCTCCCCCATCACCATTGACAGCATGACCAGTCTGGCCGGTGTCAACCTAACCGGTCCCACTGGAGCCGGCTGGTGCATCTTCGTCTACAACCTGTCGCCCGAGGCGGACGAGAGCGTCCTGTGGCAGCTCTTTGGGCCTTTCGGTGCCGTCACCAATGTCAAAGTCATCCGTGACTTCACCACCAACAAATGCAAGGGCTTCGGCTTCGTTACAATGACCAACTACGACGAAGCCGCCATGGCTATTGCCAGTCTAAATGGCTACCGCCTGGGCGATCGCGTGCTGCAGGTTTCTTTCAAAACCAGCAAGCAGCACAAGGCCTGAAGCAGACGCCGCCGGTGGCACCTGGTTGAACCTGCAGGGAGTCCTACCTGAGCCTCCCTGCGTCATCACTCTACATGGGCCTGGACTGAGTCTCTCTGTCTTTCTCTCTCTGACATGCTCGCACACAAACTCATAAACACATGCATACACACGTGCAGATGCACAGAACACATGCACACACAAAGCATACAGACATTCTCAAGCGTAGATAAGTCAGAGTTTCAAACAAACACACTAGTGGAGTTCTTTCTTTTCTCTTTACACAACTTGCTAGTCTTTCCCTGTATTTGCCTGGATTGAATTAGAAAGGGGGGCGTAGCCGGTGGGGGCTTTCTGAAAGGGAGGGGGGTAAGGGGAAGAGCTTTCTATTTAGGAGACAGTCTAACGAATGTGACAGAGAATGTGTACTGAGTGCTTTGATTGAATTCAGGCAAATAATGACAACTGATGAACAAAATTATCAAAAAAAAAAAAAAAAATGTGCAATTTACCTAAACTCTTACCCCACCATCTCTCCCATTATCCTGCTGGAGGGGATGTAGTCACTTTTTTTACACTTGGGCATTTTGAATCAGTGATTTTTTAGATCAAAGAAAATGAAACTAAAAACAGTGTTCTCTTATATACGTCTATTAAAATATTACTATATATTCAATATTTAAGGTGGTTATAATAGCCGAGTATGTAAGCATTTTCTAGAAACTTTGACTACTGTTTCCTGACCTGCGTTAGGTGGTGCCTCGCTTCAAGGCATTTTTCTCTTATATATCAGAGCTTGTCAGCTCAGACCCAACATGATTTAGCTCAACGGTCAATGAAAAGAGCAGTTCAAAGGCCATCACTTCTATCCACACACTCACGAGAAATATCACAATAGAACAGTTAACGTATCACAAAAAAACACAGTTCAGTAATAGGAAGATTTACACATATTTAGTCCTCTGAAGCTGTTTTTTTTTTTCTTTTCTGTTTTTCACTTGATCTCATCCACGCAATGGATTGAATACAGGCAGACCGTCTGTGAACTTAGAGCAGCAGCAGCGCTCCCATGGTGACAACGTTCATTAGTAATTCTCTGCTGGGCGAGAGAGTGATGAGTGTGAGGGGAAAAACTGTTTCATCATCACACAGCTGCGTCAAAAATACTGGTGATTTTACTCTTTGGCTGACTTGCAAAAGAAGCTTTATTGCATCAAAAGTTGTTTTATTTCCGCAATGCCTTTCTATCAGCCCTTTGCCGTCAGAAAAAAAAGGCAAAACCAGTCACTGACAGGCAGGTTTTTTCACCACAGCTGAATGTTTCTGCTCTTAGAGAGCATAGTTGGAAGAAAAACTTGAACATGTTTGAAATAGTACATCTCTAATAGTAAAGGCAGGAATGCAAAGAAGCGAAAATGTGAAATTCACTAGTATTATTCCTCCGTTACTTAAAGATAAATGCTACTTTTCTGCAGATTAAACTGGATCTACAATGTCCAATATTGTGTAGATTTTACTGCAGTCATATCTGAACACATATCCATTAAGCAGAAAGATTACTCTCTATTTTACCTTTTTAGTCTAGAAAAAGCTATATGTTTTTCTTTAAGGCCATTGTTTTCTTCAAAAATCTTCCTGGTAACTTTGAACATTCAAACGTGGCAGAACATCAACCTTGCAAATAAGTGTCATAGTTACCTTTTTAATCACAAAGAAAGCATTTAGCAAGTTTCTCACGATCAGTTTGTGCAACAACAAAAATAGTAGTGATTAAAATATCCCCAACCCAGGAGCATAGGGATTATTTATGGCACTCTTGATGAAACAATAAGGCCCAACCCGTCTAGTGGAAGTGTCTGTTGCAGCCCAGATTTTTGATGTACCATGTGGAGAGCGAGTGTCTTTTAATATCAAGACACAGGCGCATGATGATACGTTAAATAAGGTCAGCTATATTCAAGTCATTTTTGCTTTTCTAAGTGACGCTGTGTTAGCCAAAGAGGACAGTCTCTTTGAAAAGGATTACATTAGAGATAATCTATTTTTATACATACAAAGGAACAAGACCTTGTGCTGAATTTTTACAGATTCTTAAGCTTGGAAAAATTGGGACATTGCGTGGCTTCGTTTGAAACCCTCTGATCTTCACAGAGAAAGAGGGAAGAAGCAGCGTGGTGTACGGGTGGGGATTTGGGGAGGGGGAAGGAACCGCGTATCTCACACAAACTTAACCGCATCTGGAGAAAAACAAACCCGGCAAATGCGAATCCAACCCAAACAAAGACACATTTCAACAGCAAGGGCATAACCTGACAGACACATCTGTATTTTAGTGTTCAGACGCACTCAGCATCTCTTGTCTTGAAATTTGTACAGTGTTGCTTCAACAATGGAAGTTCTTTGACCTGAAAATCCCAGACAGAGCTGCAGTGAGACTGGCTCTCTGCCCAGCTGTAAAACCGAAGAAGCTGCTTGCAGATTGATAATAAAAAAAGATTCAAAAAGTGCTGGTGATTCACACTGAAAATCCTTACGATGAGATAGATTTGAGTTTTGCCAAAGAATTGCTTTGCAAGTCAGAACTAAGAAGGACAAACTAACTATAATACCCCCTACATAATTGCTGTAAAAATCTATGTTATTTGTTGAGCAAGGACCCTCGACAATTTGAGTTAGAATTACTTTTGAGCATATATTGTGTTACGCATATCGATTTCCATTTCTCAGTAAACAAAAGAAAAACACCATACCAAATGCAAAAATCAACTACATTTGCACACATATCATGCAGTATAAAAAAGGCATATATAGGCTATATAAAAAAGGGATGACTCAACTCACCTTGTGAACAAGGCAAAAAAACAAAATGCATCCACATATTTCCCCTGACATTCAAATCACCCGTTTTTATCTTTATCTTTTAATACATTGCCAATACTTTTTGCTGACATTTTTTTGATCTGACTCTTACCGTTTCTCCCCCGCAAATGCTGATTGCTGTCGTCCACAGCTAATCACAGAAAGGTCTAATCTAGCTCATTTGGTTCTTGCAAGTGATAGCACAGCCAGTTCGAGCATGTGGTGAGCCCGACAGACATTATAGCAAGAAAACAGGCCACATTGAACTGCAGCCATGAAAAAGTCCAAATATGACCTCCCACACCCGGTCCACATGGAGACCTACACCTGATGTACGGCAGAGAGCCGAGGACCATGGCAGGAAACAGTACTACACTGCTTGAGCAACAACAATAATCATTTTAAAAAGACAAAAAAACTTTCCTATGGAACAGTAAGTGCAATGTGCTTTGTTTTTATATTGACTGAGAACAAAATAATTTTTTAAAAAAGAAAAAGAAATGTCACACTGAAAAGGTTTGAGGAATAGCAAGAGGAGCGACTGTTCAGGCGAAAGCGATTAAATCGAACAGACTCGTTACCAAATCAGAAAAAGAATGAGAGCTCTGATCTCCAAATTGTTCCACGATCACTTCCTCAGTCCCTAATTTGTGCTCTGTCCTCGCAAGCTCAAACGGCATATTTGGCTGACTTTAGCAGAGCTTTTCTCACTGACTTGGAAAGGAATATTGTCTAACAGAACATCAGTTTTAGCCCACGTCAATTTCAAATATCATTTTCCTGTGATTTCTTGATTTCATTTACATATCAGGACTCACGTTAACTTAGTGTATTTGTGTTGTTGATGTTGCCATAGAGAAACACACATGGGTCGAAGATTACGTTTTGGTTGCATCGATTGGGTACAGTTTGTTATTTTTTTTCCATTTTATTAGTTGCAGTTTTTACAGTGTATGCAGATTTTAGACTTAGTTAGATTTCTTTTATTTCAATCAAACTGTGTTCAATTGTGTTTGTAAAGTCTGTGGTAGCTTTTGTTGCAACATAAAAATAATTTAAACTGAAAAAATTCAAAATAGCGCCAACAAACTTGTATTATTTGGGCGACTTTAAGCTTGTAGTTTTAACTTATTGTTAACTTAAAAACTATTTATTATGATTATTATTATTGCCTCGTATAAAGTATGTTTTGTGTATATTTATGGTTTATTTCATTATATTTGCAAGTTTAAAAGATTTTAAGTTTGCCAAAATTGTGGTTACACCATCTTGTTTCTTAAAAAGGGGGACAAATAGAAAAAACAGCTTTAGAAGTACGATTTGGAAACGTTCTCCATAGTCAAAGAATGCACTGCTATATTTAACTAATTGAAGTGTATAAACATACATGCTGTGTGCTAGATGTTATGCCTTTACTGCCTGTGTTCTGTTTGTCTTGTTAAATGAAAATCTTTTAATTATTTAACCTAATCACAGTCTTGTTTTTTCCAACCACTCTGAGCCCCTGAGAGATGAAGGCGCCCCTCTTTTGTGAGGCTTCGGCTCTCTTCAGGGGGAGAGATTGTTTGATTTGCTCAAAAGATTTCCTGTTTCGCTGATGGGCTGAATTTATCAAAATCTATTAAAGCCTCTGAATCTGTCAAATAAACGTATCACTGAGGCCATTTTTATCAATTTGTGCTATTCAATATATCACAGAGCTCCAACAAGCTACAGGAAGGTTTTCTTTGGAGGGTCTAGAGTTGCAAATGGATGAGTGGTCCTTCTGTTTCTCAACTGTATTTTGTGTCTATTTATTTAGAAGAGGGGACGCAGTAACTTAGTGATGTTTTTCTTACCTTTTCCTGGAATGGTAGAACAAATCAAAAGGTAAAAACGATCAAATAGTTCTGTCGACAGCAAGGTCAGCAGAAACAAAAAAAGAAAAACCTACAAAAAAAAAAATCTACTAAATCTCATACTTCCAAACATGACCAAATGAACAATGTCAAATTTAAACAAAGATAAAAAAATAAACCTTTCAGTTTAGACTAGGATATTTATTACTGGGATTTCAGCTGAAGACGCTTGAAGACTTTTTCATGGAATTGTTTAATTATTTGTACTTTACATGCCAGAAAAAAAATAAAATGAAAGTTACAAATAAAAGTGTTGCAGGGGTTTTTCTTTTCCATTGTCAGAATAAAAGCAAGAATTTCATTACACCAGCCTGTACTAAGAACACCAAGAGGAAGATTATTATTTTATATGCTTAAAGAACTGAATGAACAAACTATTGATAAAATAAATTATGTGGATTTGAATCAGTGTTTTTCAGCACACCTCACTCCTACCTTGTAAAGAGGTTAAAAGAAACATGTTTCATTGCAAATGTTCTTTCAGTGACGTTCTTAATTGTATGCTTAGAGACTCCAGATTTGTTTTTCAGACAAACACATATTAATGTCAAACACAGATGACTTGAGTGAAGGCAGAATGCAGCTTTCCATTTATTTTATTCATCAAAAGGGGAAAAAACTGTCCAAACCAACCTAGCTCCAGGTAAAGACAAAATTCTTCACCTGCTTAATAAGCAGGTGTTGAGCCGTTTCAACATAATGAAAGTTTTCAAATGGCCGGTTGTGCCAGAATTTATTATTAAAACCCAATAACAAACTGTTAAAACACTAATAAATAGCTGTCTCTCCAGTCAATAAGTACTTCTTAAAATGAAATATTAAACATCTTTTCACGTTTATGTAATTTGATACAAACACTATTTTTATTTGATTGATACAATAACTTTTTTTTAAGGTTTTCTTTATGTGATCATATTAAAAGCCACATGCCACGAGTTTGACAAGTGCTAAATTGTAAATTTATCCACAGCTGTACCCTCCAGCTCGTTTTTGTGATGACAAGCTGAAGGTGGCATGGAGAAAAAGATGTTACATTTCTAAGTTATGTTTGTGATATACAGCATTTTTATAACTGAAAGTAATGAAATTACTTGTAATAAAAATTGGCACAATATGCTTTGAAATTAAATAATTGTTGATTATGGCACAATAAATTAGCAGCTTTCAGAAGTTTTGTTTTTATCAACATGTGACATGTTAATTTTCAATAGTAAATTAATGAAGTTAGTAAAGTAATACCACCTCTAATAATTCAGCAGGTCAAATAAAAATAAAAAATCACTGATCTTGATGAGGCTATTTCGATTATGTGCAAACTTTGCCTTAATTATGTATATCAGAACTTAAATTAATATCTGGATTTAATTTCCGATTAATCAGATTCAGTAAATGACATATGAACTCAAGACAAAGCTTTAATAAAAGGTGCAGCAGATATTTAAGGACATACTCAAATATGTTAACCACATTACTAACAATAATTTGTTTTAAGATGAATTGTTCAGCACAGGTGTCATTTATTGATCTAATTTTTTCCAATCATAGAAACCTGGCACTCTTGCATTATCACATTCATTATAAAGCTACAAAATAACAGCAGGTGTACATGAATTTTGAACTAAGTTTATTAGCAGGCAAATTGATCAAATGTAGGTAAAGTTTATGAAAATCATATGACAGAAGACATTTACTGGTTGAGAGAGTTCCAACCAGGGTGAGATATGGCTAAAACAACTTTATTTGATCAAAGTGGAATGCAATACATCTGACTTAAAAAACTAATGTGAGCACACCTTGCAGGAGTGGAAGATAAGACGTGCCGATTACAATAATTTCACTTCTCCTTGGAATTTCCGTAACTATTACAAAGAAAGTAGAGAGAGGCGGAACAGCAAGCAGACTGGAAACATTTTCGCTGCAATGACTGTGGTCCCTTCACAGCGTTCTGCAAAACAGAAGACAACAACTTTTGTACTTTTTTAGGTACAACTTCATCCTTTGGTATTTAACTTTGAAGAACAAAGTTTAAATGAATGCATCTTTGAAATTAAGCAAACCAAATAAAAAATAATAATTCAGATACAAGAAAAAAATGTCTGTGGTGTAAATGCTATCTTGCAACCTTACAGTATATTACTTTACCAGGTCAAAGTACATACACTCTGATATATGATATTAAAACTAAAGATAATTGTTGCTGGTAAAGGACACAGAAACCATTATATCACAATTGATAATATTCCTTTGGGCTTTAATGTAATCCCTCGCCATATATAAAATTGTTATCTTCTTATGCTCTAAGATCCACTTATTTAAATAATCTAGGACTTAAAAATGTGACCACTATAACAACTTGCAAGTTTATATATAGATACCAATCAATAAGGCATCCACGACCACTGGAAATATAAAATACTTACAGCTAAAGAGCTCTAGAGCTCCTCATGGTCAGGATGTCCTGAATCAGAGCTTGTGGGGTCCTGGCAGATAGCAGGGCTGGTGAACTCCATGAGATATTCACATCGACTCGGCTCTGATGTCGATGTCACAACAGTTTCCTTTCCACATGTTAACTTAACCTAATATTGTACAAAAGCTGTTACTTTTAGTTTTGATTATTGAAAAAAATAAATAAACACGGAGATTGTCAAATGCTGCCTCAGACTTACAGTGGTGGATCTGTTGGGGCCTTGCCAACACCCAGTTCCATGTTCGTACTTCATCGCAGAGTAGATGTTATCCTCAGGACCTGCCCATTTACCCCATGTTCTATGTGAAAGAAACAGAACATATTGAATAAAACAAGTAAATCAACTTCAACTGCAAACCACAAATTTTCATCCTTACCCTAAATTAGTCTCTGATCCACCAAATTTGGGTTTCTGCGACACTCTGTTAAAGGGACAAAGTCTGTAGACATACCTGTGAGAAAAAGATATGTAGTCATTCAGAGATTAATTTATTACATTTGGAAAACATTTAAAAAGATTAAGTATTCACTTACTCGCCAGTGGTCAGTTCATAACACTGGCTGTAGAGGTAAGCAAACTCAGAACTGGGTCCAAAGTCAAAAGAGATTTCCTTCTCAAGGTTTCTGGAAACAAAACAACTCCAGGTTTTAGTTTGCAACTCCCAACACATTCCTGGGGCTCCAAAAGCCCCAGTAAGGGGTGAGTGAAGAGGAATTTTGATGAGAAAAATTAACAACATTGGCCAAAAAGACCTTTTCATATTCAAACGTACCTGATCTGATCTTCCACCTCCCGCAGAGCCTTTTCTGCCTCATTGAACTCATCCCTGGCTTTCTGAGCAGCTGAAATTAAAACAGATGTTTACACTGAATTTAGCAACACATAAAAAGTCTTATTAATCAGATGTGAGGAGAGAGCACCGATGCATGTAAAAGTTTCCAAACATTAATTCTCCAGAACTTTTGAGATCCAAGTTTTAAGGTCTTGAAGACCAAGCAGAAATCATAATTAGAAAAGTTTTACCACAACAAATCACTAGTCATTGCAGGACTGCTGGGTTGCAAACACGTACCATCAATGAGAGTCTGTGTTTCTTGGTCGTAGGGTGGCATAGCGCCCTCTTCATCATCCTCCTTCTTGTCATCGGTTCGCGACGTTGGAGGGGGCTGAAACCAAACCAAATTGAAGTGATGAATTACACAAACCTGGGATTTGCCAAGTTTAAGTTTCACTGAGAATCAAAATGTTTACCTTATAATCTCCTTCATCCATATCTTCATCGTCTTCATCCATATCTTCATCATCGTCGTCTTCCTCTGGGATGTCCTCATCAGGGTAGTTTTCAGAGTCATTGTCAGAGGATGTGTCTCGGGTTTCCTCTTGTGTGGTTTCCCCGGGTGGAGGGACGTCTGCAGTGGACTGATCCCAACAGATAAACATTTAGCTGCAGCAACAATGTTTTACAAATATCTATTAACCACAATTTTGAATTTTCTCACCTCAGAAACATATTTTTCTTTAATATTATTCCAGACAGTCTCAAATGCTCCTGTGTCCACTTTGTCCACACCACCTAACAAAACCTAAAAAGTTATAAAAAAAACAAAAAAAAAAAAAACAATACATATTTACCAGCTCTTGTAATACTTGAGTTTAAGTTTGGTTTAGCAACACTGATCTAGAAGTAATAGCCAGAGTTGTACCTGAGCTTCTGCTTCTGTGAATAATGCATCAGAATCTGGATCAAGCTCAGAATGAGACTGAAGTTCAACCACTGACACACTTAAAAAAAAAAAAAAAAAAAAAAAAACAGAAAAAGGAACATTAATTTACAAAACAAAAAAAAAAAGAAATCATTCAACAATCTGCCAAGGCCTACAGGTAAGACATTTAATCATTTTATTAAAACCTGGATGTCATATCCAAAAGGATGTGCTGGTTAAAAAAATGAAGTGATATGTAGTAAAGAGAAATATTGCAAAACAAGTTAAAGCAACACTAAATACAAGCAAATAGACTTGGTACTTTTCCAAACTTAAATGGATGTAATCTTAGTCTCTAAATAATGTTTTAATTTCTTACAATTGCTGAGTATTTTCCAATGTAAGCAATACTCACAAGCCATCGTCATCATCATCCAGTTCAAGAAATACGTCGGCCATCCTAGCCATGTCTTTCTCCATACGAATGACAGCTTTTTGATCTGAAATAAAAGCCACATTTACATTTGTCTCATCTGTGACTGTGTTTGCCACAATTTGATTGTTGAGGAAGAACAGGTTGAACATTGAAAGAAAATCAGAGGTTTCAAAGGGGTCTTATGCTTTACAGACACCAGGTGGCGTTAGTCTTAATTTACCTTCCCAAGCCTTCAGATGGCGCTCTTTCGCTTCTTTCTCTGGTTGCTCTGCAGTCTCCTTAACTGTTCTCAGTGCTTCAACCTTTGCTTCCAGGTCTTTCTTACTGTTCTGTATATCTCCAAGTTTACTCTGTTGGAACAAAATTAAATAGCCAATTCAGTCCAAATAAAATCTGAATCAAGAATTGTATTTTACAGCTTCAAATATTCACTTTACCTAAAAAAATTACATTTTAAGAAAACCTTTCTGAAATAGGCCTGGGTTTATGACTTTAAGAGCAGAACAGAAACAAGACTAGTAATGAAAACTAAGGACATTTCCACACTTTCCCAAACTCTATATAAACCTTGTATTCTATTGTTTGTACAAATGTTGCATGGATTACATAAAAACAAGCCATAAAATTATCTAACAGAATTTACAATATTAATCCTGCACGGACTAGATTCAGAGCTTTTTTTTTTCTCTCCAGACCTTCTTGTCCTCTAGTCCCTGTTTGGCCTCCTGGATAAGCTGTTTTTTAAACATAAAGCCTTCTTTTGCGATTTCTGCTATCTTCTGCAGTTCTTCCTTCTCTTTGCGACCCAACTCCCTGAAAAACACACAAGTAATGTCAAACATAACACCAAGACATTTCCTTTTGTAATTTCTGAGCAACTTCTTGTAACAATAGAAAATACATGCCTGCAGGTGTTTTGACAGTCAACACCACTGTTGTACTCATCAGTAGTGTCACAGCAATCTAAAGGGAAAATGTAAGTGTGAAGAAGCTATCAAATATTTTTCTAAAGGTGTATTTGAACCTGGACAAAATGCATACCACATATTCCATCATTGACGCGGGAGGAAGGGATGAAGGCTGGTCTAAAACCTGCATTAGTACAGTGGAAGTTGCCATTGGGGCAAGCAGCAGTACCTGGGAGGGATAAACATCTTGAATTAGAATCATTGTACTTTAAAACCACAACTGAATAATTCTCCAGAAAGGAGGATGTACACACCTGGCTCATCAGAACCATCCACACAGTCACAGTAGTCGTCATTTACTCTGTCAAAGGGAATAGTTCGGGATCCATCCAGACATGTAAAAGGTTTGTCCTCTTCATAAAACTGGCGTTCTGTTGTTCATCAAAACAGACAGGAAATGACTTAGACCTCCCCAGATTCAAATGATCTAATTGAATTACTATTTAATTCATCATAAGTCAGGTTAAGAACGCTTACTTGACAAGGGGACACCGCGGGGACGTTGGACCTCCGCAGACATGGCTCCGCCGATCAGAACCAACAGCACGAACTGACCGAACATCATCATGGTCAACCTCTGCATTAATGACCCAACAGTGCCTATAGAAACACACAATTGTACATTAGTGAAATTTGCAGCTTTTACTCCTGGGGAGCAAAACCATGTCTTGGGAGAAGCTAGAGGTTCGTAGCTACTAGCTAGTGCAGTGAAAACAATGCTAACTAGCAAATTGTGCTAATAGCTTTGCTAAACGGCAAACAGCAAATTCAAAATAAAATCTATGCAGTGACAATTATATAAACTTAAATACCTGAAGTGTGAACAAGGTAGCAAAATAGAAAGGAGGAAAATGTATTTTTATCGGTGCCGATGCCTAAGCATTGTCTGGTGGAATAACCTACTTCCGTATAGAGGTACAACCGTTCTTGTCCCCGTTCCGACGTTTTGCAATCTGATTGGACAAGAAATTCTCTTCTTCTTTTGTGATTGGTGTAGAGAAGGAAATCCGTGACACGTGAAGACGACATTCTTCTTTTGATTGGCGGACAGCAAGAGGACGACATTTCATTGTAACGAAGATTCTAAACTCCGACAGCAATGGGTCTCAGTTTTACGATTGATCAAAGATTCTTAAGACTTTAAAAGTATGTCAGTGCGTTGCACGGGATCATTGTCATACCATTGCCACTGGAGTAGACGCTCCAGTTTCCTGTTGTGATTGGTGGAGAGCTGGAGAAACGTCACACTAGTCTTGAGGAGAAGTGCAGCCATCTCATGCCAGCTCAGCTTTTTTTGTTTTTAACACATTTACATGGAAAGTTAATGCTGAGAAGCCAACACATATCAATTTTAAATGTAAACTTTAAAGCAATTTTAAATATTGACTACATTTTTTAAAGGGTTTTGAGCTTAAGTTTCCTCTAACCTCATTTGTAGATTTAGTTTTAAGCTTTCATGTACATCCTTGTTTTTTTATTTCATTTTATTTATGTTCTATTCAGGTATATTTAATTACATATAATGTCACACAAATGTTATATTACTAAGGATTATATTTACATTTACTAATATTTAACACCAGATGGGAATAGCTTCTCAACAAATAAGCAATTTTGCCCCAGAGAAGTATATTCTAATTTATTCCTTTAAATTGTCCTTCTCTTAGTATTACATCTATTCTCCCAATAGATGTAGATCATCTCTAGGAACTAATGATTTGCAATGAACAACGTGCTGTCCTTGTACATACTTAAAATTTTATATAAACATCTAAAGCAGTCAGTCTGAAAGATGATCCATATCTAAAAGCATATTGCATTGTGAAATGCAACACAATGTTGCGATTATATTCATATTTTTAAGGCCAACAAAAAATAGCTTCTAGAAATAAACAGTTTTGCATTTGGTTCTACAGAACTCTGGAGGCCTTTTATATCTGTTCTGTTCTTTTTTTTTTTTTTTTTTTTTTGAATAATATTTAAGCAGGTTCGAAACCAACTTTGACCTGTTACCGGTACTTCTTGAAACCGGTAACAGGCCCATCATGCGTAACTATGTAAAAGAGTTAAACAATACATTAATTAACGTCAAAGGAGAATGTGAGTACTATTTTTGTTTCAATATAAAAATTTTGCTTTATTTGTATTTTAACACACTTTACAGTACCGAACAGTGAAATAAAAGAAAATATACTGATATACTATTGTACTATTTTATATATATAGATGTCGCTTATTAAATGCATTTATTCACAAAAATGACACCTCGGCTCTGTCAGGAGGAAAAAAACTTTCATAAAAATAATATAATAAAAAATAACTTGGACACATTTTACACATTACAGCAAGTTCATTTACAAATATTACAATCATTTAAATTTTTTTTTTTCCTATCTCCCTTTAGACAAGCTCTGTTACTAATGACAAACACGTGAATTAAAGCCCAGAGGATTTCTCTCAAAGGGAGTCAGTCTGTGATAACATTACCTGACAGCAACACCAATGGGAACCAGATAAATAGGCCACCATGGGACGGACATTTAGGCTATCAGGCTAGATAGTGCTTAAAGTTACTAAGAAACAAAGGGATTGTAAGTGCTGGAAATGACCAAGTCAAATAAGGACACATATTGTGACTTTCAGTAAAAAATAAAAAATAAAAAAAAAAAAAAAAAACACATAATAATAATAATCTCATAGACTCTTTTAAGGGGACGTCTAATTTATTTTACAGTGCATCTCAACCGCTGGATATTGTGGGTTTGGGATTTTTGCCCAGATGGATATGCAGACTGCACATTACCTGAACCCGACTGTTTTACCTTGAAACCTGATGAAATAAAGTGCTGGTACAAATTTATTTGATTTTAACAATAAGTGTGCACTATTAAAAGTTATGACAAAATGTTACCCACATGTGAGGAAATATAGTATTCGAGAATGACAATGTGACGAGGTGGCTTGTGGTGTCTCAGTGGTTATTTGTCTATCATTATAATTCGGATAAAATTTTATTTTACAGTACATTATTACATTATATACAAGAGTGGTAATGATTATAGCTATATATCATCAGCATGTGATTCATTTTCCAGACCATCTACCTGAATGATATAAAAATAAACTGTACACAAGCTGTTAAAAGAAAACACTTTCCCATGTTTTCTTTTCATCATTTAAAAAGAATGGCAGCAATCAATCAATTGAATAATTTCCTTAATAAGAAACAATTGCTACAGTATCGTGTTTGTATGGCAATTAAATATTACTGTTTTTATAGCTTATGACATAACAAGAAGCCACAAAAACAAAGGAATATGTTAAAAGTAAAAGGCCAGTGCATATGGGATATATTTTTTTTTATATTTAAGTAACTGTGATAGTAATCCTGAATTCCCATTTTCACTACATGAAAAGCCTGCGTTGGTGGCCTCACAGCTCAACCAAATACACAGGCTTCTGTTGCACCAATCTGTGGCAACTTCACATGAGCTCAGTTACTGACCTGCAGAAACTCGCCCTCACCTTTAACTTAATGTTCGATTTACCCTGTGAGAAAACAAACGCTCAAACAACCTGGCACAGTTTGGCGTTCTGATCAAATCCTGGACACTTGATGCGAAGATGCCAATGAGCGGACGACAACATGAGCGAAGACATCTTTTAACATCTTGCGGTATTTTACTATTATTCTTGTAATCTCATCTCAAATGTCTCCAGGAAGCTATAGGATGCAATCTCATTTTTTTCTTTGTTTTTTTTTTTATAAAAAAACAGCACATTCTTTTAGTTGATCCAAGCACAGCCACAACAAAAATAACTGGCAGCAGTGTTTCCCACTTCCCCTCCAAAATGCAAAATACATTGTTTCACAGCACAGAAATAAGTATACAGATGTGATAAATATACTAGGATATCTGTATTGTGTCTTTTAATCTACATACTTATAGGTATGTATCCTGCATCTGACATTAAGGCAAAAAAAACCATCAAACATAGAAAGGTTGATTTGGGACTGCCAGACCTTTTCCCTGACATTCTGCCTCCCTGATTTCCTTCAATTCCACTCACCCACTGAAGTTTGTCTTCCTTAACTTTGGTGAGAATCGCTATGTATGAGGAGACAAAAAAAAATAAAAAAATACAAAAAAATGAAGACAGCAAATGAACTTTTGTTCTGCTGATGAAACTTTCTCTCCCTTTATAACATATTCAGCAAAATTTCAAATATAAAATAGGCAAAAACGTATATGCTTCAAAGCATCACATGGCTTATTCTCTGAAAGTTTAGAAAAATAATAATAAAATCAGCATAATAGGAAATAAATATATAAGCTGGAAAGAGTCCAGTGGTGGTAGTGGTGGTGTTAGTGATTGCTCTGCATCTAAAGTTCTGAGTTGTCATAACACCAGAAGAGCAACTAAAGGAAGACTTACAGCTGAAAACAAGTCACCACAGAAACTTGTACGTGTGAGTTACACGCCACAATACCATGAACAGTAAAGAGAGACCTTGAACAAGAGACAATCAAAAATGATTCCAAAAATCAGACTCTCCTGTTCCACAATGCATTGCTTCTCCACAGCCTCAGTCAGGAAGCTGATGTTTCACAAAGGCACAGAGCCATCTCACACCAGTAGCACTCTCCTTGTAAAGGGAAAAAGGATGCGGGGCTTCTCGGGCCCCTTCAACGCAGCATCTTCCTTTTCTTTGCTTCCACGTTACGTTCTCCTCTTTCTCCAACTCTGCGGACTTATTTTTTAAGTTTTATTTCCCACAGAAATGGAAAAAAAAAGTCACTGAAGCTTCTCTGAAGAGAGCAGTTTCTATTGAGATTCTAACAGACATAAATTACTAATACTGACTTGACACGAGTTAATAAACCAATAAGGAATGGCTTTTTCCAAAGAGATTCATCACTGATCAATGTCCATGTGTAAATGCACATATACAAACATACAGTCAAGTGTATGTAGGTTCCTGTGTAAGTCTATGTGTCTTTTTAAAAATCAGTAGGTGTACATATGAAATGCAATGATACTGCATGGCTTGCTGCATGCATGCATGCACATTGCATTGTTGTACTCTACACAACTTACTTTTGATTGTGGTTTTTGTGGATATTTTTGTGTGATTTCATGTGTGTTTATTTATGTGCATTCCGGTCACCAGAGTGCTACACTGTCTCCCATTACCCGTCAATAATGGCCTTCTAGATTTCCATTAGTCTTAAGTTCCTAGTAAAATTAGTCCTAGAACTTATCACTCCAAATCTACAGTTGCTGTGTAATTAGCTTCTCTTTGAGCGATTTTGAATGTATTCCCTTTTTGAAAAATATACTTAAAGGTCTGTATTGTCATTGCAGTCATATTTGTTCTTTGTTTGGCCATTTAAAGAATCAACAACATAAGTGTGCAAGATAGGAGGGAGATACAGGAGCAGACCTCATGTATCTTCAGCTTGAGAAGAAGAATCTTCCTCTTCTTCTACAGGACTTGTGTCAAAAAGTCTTTCTTTTTGTGGATCCTCACGTAACCGAGATTTCAGCTCTTCCTCTGCTTCCTCTTCCTCCATAGCCACTTCATCCTCTTCCTCTATTATGTCCTCATTCTTCTCATCTGACATTTGATCTTCCTTGTCCTCATTGTCATCATCCTTGTCTATGTCACTGCAGTCTTCTGCCACATGGTTTGGTGTGATTTTGTCGTCCTCGTGTCCCTGCTCATTCTGAGAGCTCTCTTCCAGGTGAGCTCAAACTGAAATTTGTCAATGCATTTGTTTAGCTCCTTTTCCTGACACACAGGAGGTGGCGATGGGCTTTGTGGGATAGTGCTCTGGTACCAGTCCCTGTTGTCCTCTAGGGTGTCCAGGATCTCCTGGGCATCGGGATGTACAAGGTCTCCCCACGTCTCCCATAGTGGATGAACAATGTAGTCAATGAAGCCCACCTACATCCAGAAAAGAAAAGGGGAAAAAAAAAACCCAACAGTGTAACACTGACTCGACTCAAGCAAGCTCAGCCTTACTCTTGGCAAATTGGCATTAAAAATGTAGGCGGGCGACTGCTGCGATCAGAGCTAATAGATCAGCCTCTGCTCTGTGGTTAGCATCCCACCTGCAGCATTAACAGCAATCCAGCTGTTTGCCATCCATACAAGTGTGTTCCACTGTTAATCATTTACCTGACTTTTTTCCACAGATGCGGTGTGTTTGTCGCACATGGGACTGATCTCCATGCCTCGCTCCCTTTCCTTGTCTCCCTGCCTGAAGAACTCCTCCATGATTCTCTCCGTCCATTGCCGATACACATGCAAAGGCTTTGTGGGATTGCTCAGGTCTGCACAGTGCACCATGTTCCTCAGAACCTGTGTAAAGGTCACACACACATCATTCACTCTTATACAGTGCTGGATAAAAGCATTTGCAGATTTCCTTCTGTTGCGACTAGAGTAAATACAAAATGCAGTTTGCGAATGATGATTTCAGTCAGAGAACAAATTTATGTTCCATTGAAACAAAGTGTTATTCAAAGGACTTTACTCAAAGGTTAATGGGATCAAAATGCTTTTTAAGTGACTATGAAAAACATTTTTCAAATATTTAGCTTTTTCCCACTATTAATCTCACAGGTTATCACAATTAGATCTTTTAAAACATATCTTATTATTTTATTGTTAAATAAAAAAAAAATAAAAAAATAAATACAGTTCCTCCAGTGATCAATTAGCTTCACCCAGACCACCAACCGTCCCCTCCTATCCTTAGGGTGGGTTGTTCACCCTGATCAGGTCACCAGAACACAGTACAGTACAAAAAGACACTCGTGAAAACCACCCACCCACTCATTCATAAGAGTAACTTAGAGATCCAAGTCAAGCTAGCATTATCTTGCAGAAAGATCAAAGAGATACAGAAGTGTAACAGCAGAAAATGTTTGCAAATTTTGAATCCTTTCTGCAATTTAAATGATTTAGAATAACAGGGCAAAAATGCTATAAAGACAGCTGACATATTCCAGTCATCTTTTGTACTTTTAGAAAAATTGGGAAATTAGTCTTTCATTCCACACCACTCACGATATTGGTTTTGGTTCTTATTTTTGATTTCACTTGACCAAAAATAATCATAGTTAATCAATAAGAAGGATCTGTTGTTAAAAAAATGACATCTGTGTGATTTTATGTTTTATGATTACAATTACTTTGTGTGGCAGTTGCTCACTTCCATACAATTTTCAAAAGCTTATCTTCACTGACAATGGCAAGATGAACCAATCCACTTGATCCTTTACAGCAATACTGAAAGTCAAATGCATAAAACACACGTTTACATAAAAAGTACCTGTATTCTGTCGGTGTAGTGGTCGAGCATTAGAACTCCAGAACTCGTCACTTTCTTGGTTTCCACCATTGTCTTGAGGTCTGCCAGCAAACTCATGTGTTTGGACATGTCTGTAGCCAAAACCTGGTAACAAACAGTATCTATTATGGAAGTGTGTGGAAAAAATGCTAAAGAATAATATGACAAGTGAGAAAAGTTTTCTTTGCAATAGTTTATCAGATGCGTACCATATCAATCACAAGTTTCCTCAGGCTCTGTCTTTGCCTTTTGGTGAGGTTCTGGAAGATGTCACAGTTCTCCTCATGGAGCAGCTTAAACCCCACAGCCAGGTGGTGGTTCTCCAAAACAGACTCATCGTTATACATCAGGGCCAGTTCTGAGTCTGAGGATGCAACAAACACAGTGAATGAACGTGTTGGTTCAACACTTAAAGACACCTCTGTTTCAAAAATTATATAAATTATATAAACTATTTATTCTAGAATCCTAAGGATCAAGATATTGTTAATATTAATAACACAACTTCCAATAAGTGAAACAACAACAAAGCCACTGTAATTGCAGGGCTTTGGTTACTGTTGTTTATGGTTTAATAGTAATAACATCGCCTGCAAAATAAATTATGAATGTTAAATATAATATTTTTTTACATACTTGATACATATTTCACTTTATTGCTCTCATTCTGACTCACTTGTGTTTATGAGGAATTGGTTGGACACTCCTGGATGGTCGACGTCATGAATGGCGGCAGCAAATAAAGCTGCTAATATCTCCAGGTCTGTGAATACGGCCTGTCGGAGAAATAACAAGAGGAACAACGATCACTTCAGGCAAGTGGTATGTTTATGTTTGGTGGGGTTGATCTTCTAACTGTGATCCTCACATCTAGAGCTGGTGTGGAAAGCAGTACATGGGTGGACTGGGTGACATCAGCAGCATGAAGGCTGTTGTGGTAGGCGACATTGGCGTGATAGTGGTCCTCCAGGGTCATCACGTAAGTGACAAAAGTATCCACAGGGATCCTAAAAGTCTTTAATAAATCTCTTTCCTACAGCAGAGAGAGACAATAAGGGGTATATTTACAGTATAGATCCCAACATGGGAAAAGATGACAAAGTTACATTTGGGCTCTTCTGTCCAGATAAACTCCCTCCATATGTTTACTGATTCTCCAATACGGCTTGTGGCAACTGCAAGCATGACTTCTCTTGGTGTTTAGGTTCACTAGGTG